GGGAGCTCCCCAGCAGCTCCCACAACCTAGGCTGGCACCGCTGCAGAGCTGCAGCAGGACTGCAGAGCACAGGCAGCACTGCCAGATCCACAGAAAACTGATCCCCATGATGAGGATCTCATCATGACTTTTCCTAAGCCCTTTGATAACAGAGGATTGTGCTCCAAATAACAGCGGGGGATGGGAAAAATCCCAAGTCAGAGTTATCTCCACTTTGAATATTTTTTCTCCTGTAATTCAGAAATACATCTGCAGGGTAAAATCAAAGGATTTCCATGAGACAAAGATGAGTAACTTACCAGGTGACAATGTTATTGTACTACTTACTCTGTAAATTCTTTAAATTCACCAAGTGCCCTCTCCCCCACCTCCAAAAAACCCCTGAAAAATAGATAAGACAGGATTTCTGTGCAGGAGAAACTTCAAAAGATGCTGTAAACATGCTGAACTAATTGAAACCCTGCACGGATGTCTCTGTTTTCATTAATGGAAAATATTCTCACAGGGCTGAAACCAAACTATGTTGAGAACAACATCCTCCTGCCCTTACTGGATCTTGAATCATTTTGTGCTGCAAATCTTTGTCTTGTAGAAATACTCCTGAAATACAGTCCTACTCACTCTGAAAATGGCTTGCAGGGTTTACCCCTGAAGGAGACAGGCACAATGTGACAAGAACTCACGGCCTAATGCTTGTGATGCACAGAAAACTTTGGAAAGCAATGGTTTCTTTCCAAAAGAAATGGGGGTATGCATGGAATGACAACTTATCATCTTGCATATAATTTTTTGTCTAGTTAATTTTTCTTTCCTTTGCAGTCCACCGAAATACATAACAACTTCTGAACTCTGGTTTGGTATTCCACGCTGCAACACCCACCAGTTGCCCTAAACACATAGTATCCCTCTCTGGATCATTTTTCTTTCTTACGCAGCCTTGACCAGCCCTCCTTCTTCCCTACACTGTTTTGAGCAGACCCATCCAGACAAGCACTGCCCATCAGAAACACCACCAGGCTGGGTCAGGGCCCCCTAGTCCCCTGCCTGGTCAATTTTACCAACACTACAAACCTCTGCTGGTCTTCTCTTGCCCAGCTGGACAAATTCACCTTTTACATCATCCTAAGGTCATGACTTCTCTGAGACTCCCCTTGCCTTTCATGATCTTTTCATATCCCCAACATTTCCAGTACTTATAAAGATGTTGACCCCTTTTTGGTAAGGCCATGGTTCCAGCCCTCATTGGTAATATAATGGTGTTACAGAGTAGTAGTTCTACATTCCCCTTGTTTGAAGACTCTCATCTGAAAAAAAGCTGTCATTAATCCATTTAAACATTGTCTTAGAGTTTAGACTATAAAAGGCAATACCATTTTTGCCATTCTTTTTGTGCTGTTGTACACATCCTGTGATGAGAGTGGTGGACACTGGAGCCATACAACCTGCAGCTGTTCATGCTAGTGTTTCTATTTCTAAAATGACACATTAATATAAAGTCTTTATATTCAAGTTTCTTTGAATGAAGAAATTTGCACAAACTTGCACCTCTGTGTGTTCAACAAAAATAATTTGTTAGGCTTAGAAGAGTAGTCTTTTACAGCAACAGAAAAAAGATTAAATTCCTTTCCTGAGGTCACAGAAAGTCAATGTCAAAGTTAAAGGTATGTTTTCTGCTTCCCAATCTGTATTTTTTCATTGTCTTGTACATCAAAAGAGCTCAGAATTAGTCTCTCATTGCTGACTATGGGCTAATTTCTCTGACAATCAGATACAAAACAAGAAGAGATGGCTGTCTACATTTTAATATAAACCTAATGTCTACATCCAATGGCATGAATCACAAATCCTTACAAAAGCAAAACATCAATTTAAGACCAGACAGTTTGAATGTGTTAATTAACAAGAATCCTGACACAATCAATAAAGCTATTCTAGTAAAGCAAATCCCTCCCCAGAATACTATTCCTATTTTTCTGACAAATGGCTTTAGATGACACATACTCTTTCCATAGGAGAAAAACATTTGGAATATCGAGAGACAGATTCTTCTCACAGATGAAAAAATAATGCAGTTATATCGACGTTCATGATATGCTGATTTGAGCATTTGAAGGGGAACACAAATACAAACTACTGACAAATTGATCTCTTAATATTAAAAATCAGGATCACACTACTGACAGTCAGTCAATAACATAGTGAAATTTGATTCCACTGGTATCATTTATCAAGGATGACACAGCTTATGAAGAGTAAGGATGTAAGAACTTTGTTATTTCACTACACAATTCCACTTCATATCTAAAGAAGCGCTAATAGTGGATTTTTACTGTTCTACACTGTGTTCCATTAAAAAAAAACAGACAAGAATATATGGGATCTCATCCATATGGCAGTACTATCTACTCAATTTTGCTTTTTTTAATCAACATATCTTTGGTTTGACTAAAGCTGTAGCACATTTGCAAAGAATCTGTTTCGTTTTTACCTTCGTCAAAAGCCACTTGCTTCCCAAAATAAGTGAAAATGCCTAGACAAGAGCTATGTAGAGAGACCATGCAAAACTCCTGCCAAGTGATCTGAATATAAATTCAAGGGATCCTTACCAGCTGCAGTCAAAAGCACACTCCAAATTCTTGCTAGATGTTAATCAAACTTAAGTATTCTTTGCATAGATGAGTTAATTGCTTTTGTTAAACTGCATTTGCTTCCCTGGGGGTGGGGTGGTATCCCTAAAGCTGAATGCATCAGATTGTAGAAAAGAGAGTCACGAAAGGACTGTCAACCTGGTCAAACTCTCCTGTTCACCTAAAGGTAAGGAACAGCTCATTTAACACTATAACACCTGGACAAGCCCTCAGGGTGCCCATTGCCACAACACCAGTCATATTCAAAGTGCTGGCATTAGGTACCCACGTTTTAGGTACATGCCGCAATGGTGAAATTTGTGGTATACAAAGGGCTAAAGCATCATGCACTGAGGCAAATGTGGCACGGTTTTTGTCTACCAGATCTATCTGTGGGGAGTCAAACTTGGTGTACACAGCCTTGTGCCATCTCTGAAACATTTCGCCACCTGACACACCAGAAAAGGGAACTCCGGTAAGTGATTTCAAGGGAAATTAAAGAGGCACAACCAGCTTAGCTCACACAGCTCACTGAGCAGTTGAGAATTTTTCTGCAAGGTATGGATTGTAGTCAGTGAGCGAGACAGAAAATTCATTGCCAGTCCTGTGAACTGCTCATAATTCCAGCAGAGACTTGCAACACTTCCACTTGCAACTTACCACTACACAATCTTAAAAAGCCAAACACAAAGCCACAGCATCTCCACAGCATATTAACAGTCAGTACTAACACCATGCAGCTGATCCACCCCTTGTGGGAGCAATACACATTTAAATTTATGGCATTCAGTTGGCTGGGCAAGAAAAATTAGATAAATTTTATTAGATAAGGTTCTATGTCTTGATGCTGTGCAGGTGTATGAATTATGTGAGCAAACAAGTAAAAACTTGGACCTGAATAACACTGTTTGTCCAGTTTATTAAAAATCTAGAGCACACCTGCCCAGCTGACCTTTCCAACTTGAGATGGAAAACAAAAATAGAAATCCCAATACCATTTCATTTGCAAGGCTAGTGACTAGCAACCAATACAGATAATTTGGCCACCAAGGCTGTTATTTTCCTAAATTCTATCTCCAGCTCTGACAGTAGCACACCCCCCTCTACTTCAAGAAGAACACACATATCTAATTACCTATGCTTACTCCCAGCATTGTGCTACTGGACACAAATGCCATTTAGGGATGTTGACAAGGAAACTGAAGCCAGCTTTCAGTTTCAGTCTTGCATCAGACATGCTGCTCAATCAAAGCATCAAAGCTTTTCAGCCTGGGTCTGTAGCTTATCTGCTGGGAAACAAATGCCACTTTCCACACTTGTCTTTTTTTCTTTTTTTTTTTTTTTCTTCCAAGTTGTTGGATGAAAACATTTTTCCTAAACAGTCATGTTAATCTGCTTTCCAAACTACTGCTGCCAAAGCTCAGTTACAAACCTGATAAAATAAGCCATCTTCCATACTGATGGCATGTTCCAAAATGAGGTTTTAAACTCACTCTGCAGGGAAAAGTTGGTACTTTGGAAAAACTTCAGAGTTGTACGTGACTCTGGGAAATACTTGTCTCTAGGACTCCATTTCAGTTACTCAGTAACTGGCAGCAACATTTAAGTAATTAATAAGATTACCAAAAAGCATTGCATTCCTAGCTCATTCGAGGAAAAGCAGCTGCACCTTTTCCTTAATTGATTTGTGCCTACATTTCTAGACTGAACCTATTTCTTGGCTGATAGACAAAATAGGAAATATTTACAGTACTACTGCTGCCGCCAAAAGAAAATCTGGTCGGGATACCACACAACTGAGCATTTCTCTAGGCAGCTTCTGCTGAAGGACATATGCTGGAACGAAGTCGAAGTATTAAACAGATGTGCATTTTCACGTGCAGGTCACGCTTATTTACATATATACACAAATATCCCTCTATTCCAGTGTGTGTGCCTGTTCCAGCCTCTGCCCAAGACTGCCAATTTTCCGTGAAAATGAAGATATAACCTTTAAAAACCCTTAGCGGAAAAAATCAGCTGAATGGAGAGCCTGAAGTGACTCGTCCCGGCTCCGTCCCGCTGGCGAGGGAGCGGCGGGAGCTGGAGAGAGCACCAGGAGCGCTCCCGCATCCCGGTCACCAGCCAGAACGAACGCGGAGGGAAACTCTCCGCAAAGGCGAAGGCACCGCTGGGCGGCCCCGCATCCCCACCGCTACCCCGAGGATGCTTCTGCCCAGGGCAAACGCCGCTCCGGGAGAGATGCCGCCTCTCCTCCGCTCCCTCCCCGGGGCCACCGCACCCGCGCCCGGCACCGCGGCTTCTGGGCGCCGCACCTGCGGAATGGGACGGGACGGGATGGGAGAAGTCGGGTCGAGTCCGGCCCCTGCCTACCTGTCCCGCGGGCGTCCGACCGGGAGCCGGGAGCCGCCGCCGGGAGCCGCCGCCGGGAGCAGAGCGAGGGGCTGTGTGAACGGCGGGGCCGGCGGGGATCAGCCACTCCTTCGGCGGCCCCGGACCGCCCCCGCCCCTGGCCCCGGTCCCGGACAGAAACACAGACAGACACACAGACATTTAAGCACTTACACGGTTCTGCAGCCGGTGTCACCCGTGCGGCGCTGCCCGAGGCGGATGCCGCCTCTCCCCAGCCCCAGAATAGCCCCCGTCCACTCGAAGTGGAAGCTACATAGGGACTTCGGAGGTCATTTATTCGGCCCTGTGAAGGACGAGTACCTAGCCATCAGGTGATCGAGGAATGAAACAGTCTTCAATCGACTAGATCCTTAGGTCCCACGAGCAGGAGCTGATCCTCAACCCCGTCAGGAGACCCAAATCCAAGAAAAAACAAATCATATGTGGTCCCCTCCGGTACTGCTTGAGAAAGGAAGGGCGTCATGACTTTTCCACTGTTTTAGCGCATTATGAGTAGAGATGCTTGTTATTTCACAGGTATTTCAGGTAAATCAGACCTGTTAGCCTGCTCCATGACTAAAGTTGGAGCATGGGAAGAACAATGTTTTGTGAAGCTAAGCAACCACTACTTCACATAATTACAGAATTGTTAGGGTTGGAAGAGTCCTCTTGAGATCAGCCAGTTAAACCCCCCTGTCACTGCAGGGTCACCTGGAGCAGGTGACACAGGAGCATGTCCAGGTGGGTTTGGAATGTCTCCAGAGAGGGAGACTCCACACATTCCCTGGGCAGCTGTTCCAGTGCTCTGCCACCCTCAGTGGAAAGAAGTTCTGCCTCATGTTGAGGTGAAACTTCTTGTGGTTTAGTTTATGGCCTTTGCTCCTCATCCTGTTGCTGGGTACCACTGAACAGAGTCTGGCACCATGCTCCTGGAACATTGCTTGAAGGTATTTATATGCATTAATGAGATTCCCTCTTAGTCTTTTCCTCTCCAAATAAACCAGGCCCAGCTGCTGCAGTCTCTGCTCATCAGAGAGATGATCCACACCCCTCATCATCTCTGTGGCCTCTGCTGGACCTTCTCCAGTATCTCCTGCTCTTTCTTGAACTGTGGAGCCCAGAATTGGACACAACACTCCAGATTTGGCCTCACTAGGGCTGAGTAGAGGGGCAGGATCCCCTCCCTGACCTGCTGGCCACACTCTTCCTGATTTACCTCAGGATTCCATGGTCCCTCCCGGCCTCCAGGGCACTGCCAGCTCATGGCCAACTTGTCACCCACCAGGACCCCCAGGTCCTTCTCCACAGAGCTGTTCTGTAGTAGGTGTGCCCCAACCCGTGCTGGTCCTTGGGGTCATCCCTCCCCAGGTGCAGGACCTGTATTTGCCCTTGTTGAACCTCATTAGGTTTCTCTCCACCCAACTCTCCAGCCTGCCTAGGTCCCTCTGAATGGCAACATAGCCTTCAGATGGATCAGCCTCTCCTCCCAGTTTCATACTGTCACAAACTTGCTGAGGGTCCATTCTATCCCTTCATCCAGGTCATTGATAAACAAGTTGAATAAGACTGAATCCAGTATTGATCCCTGGGGAATGCTGGGTCTGACTACAAGCCTCCAACTGGATTCTACTCAGCTGATCACAACACTCTAAGCTCTGCTGTGCAGCCAGTTCTTGATCCACCTCACTATCCATTCATCTGGTACACATTTCCTGAGCTTACCCATGAGGATCTTATGGGAGACAGTGTCAAAAGCCTTGTTGGAGTCGAGGTAGACAACATGACTCCCACGGGAGACTGTCCTCCTTGAACTTCTCTAATGTGAGTCCCTCCCATGGACAACAGTTCTCCACAAACTGCTCCAGTGTGGGTCCCTTTCCATGGGGTCACTCCTTCAGGCACAGGCTGCTCCAACATAGGTCCCCCACAGAGCCACAAGTCCTACCAGAAAACCTGCTCCAGCGTGGGCCTCCTCTCTCCACAGGTCTTCAGGTCCCTTCCAGGACCCTGCTCTATCGCGGGTCTCCCACAAGGCCACATCCCCCCTTCACACATTGAGCATGCTCCAGCATGGACTCCTCCCCGGGCTGCAGGTGGATCTCTCTTCCCCTGTTGACCTCCATGTGCTGCAGAGGCACAGCTCCCTCACTATGGGCTGCACCACGGGCTGCTGGGGAACCTCAGCTCCAGCGCCTGGAGCACCTCCTGCCTCTCCTTCTCCACTGACCTGAATGTCTGCAGAGTTGTTCCTCTCACATGTTGTCACTCTGCTCTTCTCTGGCCACAATTACATCTGTGCAACAACTTTTTTCCCTTCTTAAATATGTTATCCCAGAGGTGTCACTGCCATCTCTGATGGGCTTGGCCTTGGTCAGCACTGATCCGTCCTGTAGCCGGCTGGCATTGGATCTGCAGGACATGGGGGAATCTTCCAGCAGCTTCTCAGAGAAGCCACCCCTATAGTCCCCCTGCTACCAAAACCTGGCCATGCAAACCCAATACAGGTTTCCACCAAAAATCATGGCATGCAGGGGTGCTGAGGGTGGCACCCCCATGGACTACAGAGTTTCTGGGGTACAGGCTGTAGTGGGAACCTCCAGGGTCTTCCTTTCCTTTTCCCCCTCACGTTTCCCACCGTTTCCCCCCACGATTCTCCCAATTTTCCCCTCATTTCCTGCCCATTTTTCACTCACGTTTCCCACCCCTTTCCCCTCATGTTCCTCCCACTTTTGTCCTCAGGTTTCTCACACTTTTTCCTTCATGTTTCCCACTGTTTACACCTCATGTTTCCTTTTTCTCCACTCACATTTCTCAAACTTTCCCCTAACATTTCTCACAATTTTCCCCTCACTTTTCCTGCCCTTTTCTCCCCTCATGGTTCTCATCCTTTTCCCCTCACTTTTCTTGCACTTTTCCCTTCACATATCTTGCACTTTTCCCTTTCACATTTCCTACCCTTTTTCCCATCATGTTTCCCATCCTTTTCTCCTCATGTTTCTCACACTTTTCCCCTCACATGTTCTGCTCTTTTTGTGTCCAAAAACTGCCCAACTGACAGTCCACCACTTCCTCCTGGAAAAGGCCAGTCCTGCTCTCTCAGGGCAAGGACTTTTGGCAGCCCTCCCTGAGGCGTGTGAAGATCCTTCCCTCAAGGGGGGACATCCCTCAGGGTCACTCCTCCAGGCTGTGTGAGGGAGATTTTCCCCCACGTGTTGGTTTGGGTGAGGAACACCAACCCCTACTTAATAATTGGTTTTGCTGGCTTTAACATAATTGCTGCTATATTGCTTCAAATTGGATGGGTTAGAGTTTGCTAAGTCAATGCCTTGTGAAATGTTTTATTTTGATTGACTGTTTGTTTGCTTCAAAATTTGCCAAGTACCCTTTTTTCTTAAGTTTGCCAGTAAAAGCTTGTTGTTTAACCTCCTGAAAACCTTTCTCCAGTGCCTCAGGCTACAAAAAACCCCTAAGCGCCTTTAGGAACCCAGTTGAGCAAGTCTGAGACACCACAGCCCTTAGGTCACCAGGACCAGAACACAGCGCTCAAAGGGAGCATCCCGGTCATCACTGCTCCCTTGGACACCTCAGGATCAAGATGGTCTGAGCTGGCAGGCAAGAGAAGGCAGCATCAACATCCTCCTCCAAGGGCTGAAAGGCTGCCACCAAACCGAACAGAGCCAAGATGAGCCCCTGTAACTGCAGAGATGCTGTGACCTCACACCTCAGCAGGGCTGATCCCAGGGATCACCAGTAGCCTGGGGGGTGGCACAGGGCAAGGCAGCCACGAAGCCCACCTGTGTGGGCAGGGGAGACAGGGGGAGGCTGAGACCCTGCCCAGGGTGGTGCCAGGGCTAGGGGGCGATTCGGGCCAGGCTACCCAAAGAATGACCCCAGGGCTGGGGGTCACCAAGGAACCTGACGGCCACCTCTTGCATGGGGGCCTGAGGGTCCTACAGGTACTGCAGCCTCTGTAACATGTAGTGTTCAGCCCTGCTCCTGTCTTTCACCAGCTAGAGAGAGCATGAGGCCATGGGCATGGCACAAAATCCCCTGGTTGGCCAGAGCAGTCTTTCCTGCCAGCGGTCCTTCCTGCAGAGAGCCCTCCATCCCACTTGGTGCAGGGAGGGCGGAGGGGCTGAAAGAGTCCTTGGGGTTTCTGTTCTCTAGGACAGGAACAAGGGTGCAGCTCCAGGCAGGCGGGGCAGAGCTGCAGAGCCCATGGACAGGGGGCAGCCCTCGCCCAACCTGGACCCTGGGGCTTGTCCTCACCACACACTCACTGATCCTCCATGTCTGCTGTGTCCGCACCGCATGCTTGAGCTCTTCCCACTTCAGGAGCTCTGCAGCAGACAGGAGGGCTTCCCCAGCAATCTCCAGGACAGCAGAAGCTGGGAGGTGGCACCAGAGCCCGGGGAAGGAGACCTCTTGGCTTTGTTCCTAAGGGTGATCGCACCCTGAGGGATCCCAAGCTTGGACGTGCCCTCACAAAGCATGCAGGGGTCTCTTGGGGACAGCCCTGGGGGATGGGGACAGAAGCTCCAAGGCCTGGCCTCTGACACCTGCAGAAATAGCTGAGAAGCCTCTGGGGACATGCACATTCAGGCCTCAGTGATTGTGGTCTGCTCTGAGCCCTGCTGGAGCACGTAGGGCAGGTGTTGAGAATAGCCATGCCAGCTCATGCACCCCTCTCGTGCTGGTTCCACAAGGACTCTTCCCATGGGCTGCTCTGGGGGAGCACTACCTGCTGCCAGCAGCCCTTGGACCCCCACGGAGCCCTGCAGCCCACCCCCCTCTGTGTCAGTGCTCAGCCTGGAAATCCCTGCCTTGGCCACACGGGGGGCCTGGTTGCTGGAGCCAAAGAGGAGTATGACCAGGGCATTCTGCATATACTTCTTCACATTCTCACTGTCACTCCCCACCACTGTCCCCAGCAGCTCTCAAAGAGGCAGAGGGAACCTCGCACGTAGTTGGATTCTAGTAGGAAGGCAGAAAGGTGAGCTTCAGAAAGAGCGGCTCTCTGCCCACAGTGAGGAGAGGCGTGATCA